AAGGTGTACGACCTTGGAGAAGACAACCCACCCCTCGAAAGGGGAGAAATCGAGGTATTTTTTAGGCCTTGGTTGTCTTCTCCAAGGTGTTCGACCTTGTCAAGGCCTCCACAAGGGGGCGAGGGCATCCGACATTTTGGGGAAGGGGGGTCGACCTCCACCTGTGTGGGCACCCGTTCAGATTATGGAGCATGCCGTGACTGAGCTCTGTTGGCCTATTGTGCAGGTGATGCTGCCTCAAGTGTTGGGGGTGACTTTACAATGCCCTTGCTTTTGGGACAGATGTTAAGTGTTGTGTCGAGGCCAATATTCCCCAATCGCCAATCGCTAGATCGTCGTCATTCACCAAGCTGTTGGCGCAAAATCTGTCTTCACAACACCCTGCAACTGCATTTTTTAAAGAAAAGTGTCTTTCACGCGAGAGCATATGCCCCCCACCGTCATCTCTTGATTTTTATTTCAAGAAAAAAATGATTTTGTGTCTGTGCATACGTTTAGATATAGAGTCTAGGACAATTAAGCTTACCGGCCTTCGGACAGGCTGTGTCCCTCACGCGAGAGCATCATGTGTCCCCCACCGTCATCTTTTGTTTTGTGTTTTACAGAAAAAAACGCTTGCATTTCTATTCCCATCTCTATGCAGAGACAAGTCGAGGACACGTTAGCTAAGGGATGAGTCCATGGTGGAATATGACGTACCTCCCTTTGCATTTTTGTTTCCAAAGTCGAAGTTTATAGCCCCAAACGCCGTGTTACCTGAATTGAACGCTACTTTGGGGCTGTCTGCGAAAGTCAGGCACCGTGCGGGGTTTCCAGTCGGGATCGCTGTCTCGAGGTCACCAAGCCCGTTCCGTATGTTTTATTATTTCCGCGGGTTTTTCCAGGCTACATCGGGTCCGGGCGTCAGAACTGGGACGGGTCTGGAGGAACTGGAGCAGCGCTCCGGCACTACGAGGAGACCGGGAGAAAGTGAGTGCTGTTTGATTGTTGAAACGGTATTCCATTGATGATTTATTCAAGAAGAGGTATACCATTATTGATTTGTCGCTGAAAAAAGTGTACCACTGATGATTTTTTCATAAAAAAGGTACCGTTCATGATTTATTGGTTAAGAAAGGTTACCATTGATGATTTATTCATAAAAAAAGGTATACCATTGGTGACGGCCTCTGCTGTCTGCACGATGTGTCGGGGTCCTTCTGCTGCTAAAACTCGTTGAGTCAGTGAAGCCTAGCGAAAGGTGCAGCGGTTTTCTTTGCTTTGACAATACCGTAAGGTTGGAGTCAGCGCACAGGGATGCGAACGATTTTCAAAGCGTAATTTCTCCACAAGCAGGAGGTTACCACAGTCGAAGAGGACGGTTTTGGAAATATCTCATCGAGAGCTTTCCTGAGAAGTATCAGTTGGCGCTCGCACCCTCCTGGTTGTGGAGAAATTACGCTTTGAAAATCGATCGCACCCCTGTGCGCTGACTCGCAACCTTACGGTATACACAACACCGAAGGAAGGGAGAGTACCCGTTGGAGATAGTGCCTCGTTGGAAGGGATGTGTTCATGTGCTCAAGCGGCCTCGTTTTTAGGATATAAACTTTACCTTTTTAGAATATATACATGAAAAAAACAACGCCCCAGAAATAGATCGTACCCCGTCGAAGGGATGTGTGACAGCGGCTCTATCTGAGAAGAAGGTGTGACGCACAACACAAAACAAAAGACTACCCGATCGAGATTAAGATTGTGCCCCGTTCGAAGGGGTTATGTCGGGGCGGGGAGGCTCTCGAGTTAGGATGTTTACAGTACCACAAAGCAAGGCAAGACAAGCCGTTAGAGATACTACCCCGTTCGAAGGGGTGCGACAGAGATGGACCTTTTTTATTTAGTTCCGGTCTCGTTGTTTCGGGAGAAAGGCCGAATCGACGTGTGATTGCGGGTTGTGAAAGGAGGACGGACTGGTGTTCCACAACCGTGCCGCGGAATGCGCATCGGCGGCGGTCGTAGCAAACACGGTAATTCCTTTCCACGGTTTGTTGGGCGTGTAAACCTGCTGTGCGGCATGCGCTTTTCTGGAGTAGATCGCGTGCAGGGGGTGCCACAAGCATTTTTTTTGCCGTCGGCAGGACTGTTGTCGAGAACAGGCTTGTTGGCCAATCAGATCCCTAGACTGGGAAGGGGGTCCCGCGGTCGGCCGTACTCGCGATGCGAAGCGGCACTACTGCTGTTATATATCTCTTCTGTGTACAAAGGTACATATCGAAAGTTTCTTTGTTTCTACAACGCCACGTGTACCTTTGTTTCTGTTGTTCGTATTTTGTTTTTTGTTTTCGTGTGTTTTCTCTTCTATAGCCACACTTGCAGCATATCCTTGTTCCTGATGTTCGTGCTTTTTTTTTTGTTGACGTTTGTTTTCTCTTCTACATAGCGACACTAGCAGCATATCTTTGTTTCTGGTGTTCGTGTTTTGTTTTTTGTTTTCGTTTGTTTTCTCTTCTATAGCAACACTTGCAGCATATCTTTGTTTCTGATGTTCATGTTTTGTATTATGGTACTTGTGTTTTTTCTTGTTTTGGGCAGGTACCCCTTGGCCGTCAAGCTGGGCACCATCACCCCCAACGGGGCGGATGTCTACAGCTACGCTCCAGAGGAAGACTCTATGGTCAAGGTAAGGTATCGGTGCAACAACAAAATAACAAAAAGTCAGTGTATAGGCTTAAATTGACCCTAAATATGCCCAGTATGCACCCGGTTTCTTCCTACTCGTTGTAAAGACTTCGAAACATCCCTTTCGACTGTGGTTTTATCTCGAACGGGTGGTCTTTCTGTGAGATTTCTGTGAGATTATGTATCTTTTCTACAAATAACACCAAGATCTCTTCCGCTTTCAACCAAACTGTAGTGAAGAATGTGGTGTGCATGCAACAAAAGAACACTACCAAGGAGTTTCCTCTGCGTCCAACGAAAAACCTTATGTTGCTGCCAGGCAATGTCGACGTCACTGCTGTGTGCTTGTTCTCACTCTGGAATGAATCATGAGTCAGTCTATCTTGTGTCTGTCAATTGTTCACGTTTCGGGAGGCCCGTACATGAAGGTCGTGTTTCTTTTTTTGGGGAGGAGGGGGTGACGGGAAATTAATCCAGCCGATCGGGCGAAGCGTGTTTTGGTGTGTTGAGAGTGGCCGCCAACCAAGCGCAGCGAAACGCCCCTGCCTGGGGTTGGTGTCTTCCGGGTGGAGGCGTTATTTTTCCACGCGGATGTACACACCATCGCCCCCCCCACGCAACAGATGGACGGTGCCAGTCGCTCTTCTTTCGGTTCGGTTGATAGCAAAAGGAAGTTTGTCAAGCTGGTATATCGCTTGTTTCTGTCCGAAACATGGTGTTCTTGCCGGCATTTCTCCTTCACGCCGCAACGTTCGCACCTGCACTTGAGAGAACTCGGCAGCTAAGAACATGGCATCCGAGAGCTTCATGCTCAAACCCCTCGAGAACCTGGGCACCACTGACGTTAATGATCCCGGTGAAGAGCCGCCACTAAGAGTCATGTAGCGGCCATTTGTTAGCCTAGCCTACTACAGGAACGAAGGAATCCAGCCTCGGGCCAAACCAGAGGTTCTCAAGGGGGAGCGGTGACTGTGCACCCAGGACGGAGCGCGTGTTGTCGCCTCTTGCGCCGTGCACCGCTCCACTGGTCTGACGTGCATGCGCAGCACAGCAGTTCGCGCCCGCGTTTAAATGAACGCCATTTTGGGATGTAGGCTCAATTTCTCACTTCGTCAACACCGTCTGGCATAGGTGTTTTATATATGGTGTTTTTAAGTGTAGGATCTACGACTATTGTGTGTTTCTTGATCGATTTTTCTTGTTTCATGGCCAATTTTTGTAGCATTGTTTCTTCAATTTTTTTTTCAATCGCAGGCGCTAGTTTAGTTGTATAGCATATAATGGTATCATGCGATGATAGCCTCGCGTGCCCGACCACCGCGCTAATCGCTGTGCAATGCAATGGTGCCATGCAATGGTGCCATGCAATGGCGCGATGCAATGGCGTTGGTGTGGCGTTGTTCAGGACCCCAAGCTGGCGGAGCACTTGGCTCGGTGGGGCATCGATGTGCTCAAGGTGGAAAAGACGGACAAGACCATGGCGGAGCTGGAGGTATGCTGTGTACTGCAGTATTTTTCTAGTGTTGTAGCTCAAGGGGGGGAGCTAAATGTAGACAGATCGTGAGAACATCTAAGGGCACTCAGGTGTTTTTTACGTCGGAGAGTGTCTAAGAATGTCACGAGTCGCCAACAACGCGAAAGAGAGGGAGGGACGGAAGAGGAGGGGGGAAAGGAGAGAGGATCAATGTAGACGAATCGTGAGAACACCCAGGGCCATGTAGTGTATGCTTTCTGGAAGGATGCCCTCTAGGAAACCTTCCGCGGAAGACGTTTCCAACACCGCCTTAGATTTTCGGTCGTGTTAAATCCGTCGTGTGTCGTACACTGCTGTGTCGATGTGTTGCAACGATATGCTGTTGCTAGAGCTACGTTATTTCCCTTTCCGGTCACGCGTGTAGCCAAGACGAGGTTCGACTTCGCGAGTTCCGAGCGTTGTCGTAATCCGAATGGCATCGGTTGAGCGTTTGTGGTGTTCATGTTTGCCACCAACTAGCTCTATCGCCTGGTTGGAGCTGGATGATTCGTTTTTTCGGCAATACTCTACCTGTGGATTGCTGGTCTTGACATGGGCTTTGATTTGACGGCCGGGGCTATTATGGTATTTACTGGGGATTCTTGTTAGGTGGAGCTGAACAAGTCGTACGACTTCAACAAGATCACGGAGGCTGGCGCCAAGCTCAGGCCGCTGTCCGGACCTGGCTTCACGGGCATCAAGAACCTCGGGAACTCGTGCTACATGAACAGCTGCTTGCAGGTGCTGACTGCTCTGCTGTTGTTGTAGACCGAAACAAACAGCTGTTGACCTTTGTTGTAGAGCTAAGCAGGTAGCACAGAACTTTCCGCATAATGTTGCGCGAAATTTTACTCAACACAAACGGTAGTTGCACGAACCTCGTGAAACCTTGCTACAACATGAACAGCTTGCTTGCAGGTGCTGCTGCTGGTTGTTGTTGTTGTTGTAGAGCTCTCGTGTGGCACGCAACGTTCCTCAGAATGTTCAACGTGGAGTGTTCCACGAGACAAACGCGAATTGGAAGAACCTCGGGAAACTCGTGCTACATGAACAGCTGCTTGCAGGCGTTGCTGGATGTTGAATAGTAGAGCTCTCGTGTGGCACGGAACGCTCTCCCAGAATGTTCCACGTAGAGTGTTCCACCGGATAAACGCGGGTTGCGCCGCACATGTGTTGCGCGACTCGTACGTGGCAAGAGCATCGAGGCCAGAGCTATGTAGCTGACGTGGAGCTTTTTCTTCGATTTTACCAAGCATCGGACGATTTCTGTGGCAAGGAGTAGTTTTGTTTTTTTGCTTTCTGCTCGTGGGGGTCGACTTCAGTTCAGCGCATGCGTGCACGATAGTGTTGTTTTCGTGGCGGCATGCCCTTGCGTTTCACCCCCCCGTACGAAGCACAGCCCCCATCCCTCGTGCCCCTGGCTGTTGGCGTTGGCATCAGGTTTCGAGGCCCCGTCGTTCCTCCTCCGCCTGCGGCGTTACCCAGCCGAAATGAACCACGTACCCCCCGTGATTTTGCATTCGCGTTCGTCTCTCATCTGCCGTCCCCCACTGCTCGTCGTATGCATATGATGTATGTACACTGCGGAACACAGAGTATTGATTCCGTTGGTGTTTTCCTTTCGTCCCAGGCTCGATATTCCTATATTGGACAATGAATAAAGTTGTGGGTTTTTGGTCCCGTTTGCGCAATCCTCGCCCGCTCGCTCGAAAGCGTGTCTTTCTTCCGCCTGCTTGCTTGACACGAATCGCAGCGCTTGCCCTCCATCCTGCCACCCTCATCCCTCTTTCTTGTTCGGCATGGTTCACGCCTCGCATGTCAGGTGCTGTGTACCCTACCGGAGATTGGGCAGAAGTACGACGGTACGGGCACGGAAGTCTTCAAGACGGCCCCCGAAGACATCGCCTCGGACTTCCCCGCTCAGGTCAACACCGTTTGATAGATTGCATAACATACCACACCCCAGAGCTCGATGGCTTGGCAGCACGAACAGGGCGGCGTTGGATCTGCCTCGTTGACGGGTTCCGAAAATGTGTGATTTGGCTGTGGCATTCCCTTGTACGTGGAAGTAGTGGAGCTTTGACAGTCGGTCCAGGGGGTGTGGTATTTTGAAACCTACGTTTTGAAACCTGCGGTTGTTAACTGTATACCGTGACGCAAGATAACACACCCCGGTGGTATTTTGAAACCTACGTTTTGAAACCTGCGGTAGTTAACTGTATTCCATGACGCAAGATAGCACACCCCGGTGATCGATAAAATGTTGGCGTGTAAGAAAAATGGTCGCCGGTTGTGTTGTTGCGGGGGACGTCTGTTATCTTTGCCATCTTGTGTCGTATGCGGTAGGTCATGGTGTACAACTCTCTGGGGTTGTTGGCGAGTATTTTTCGTGCCTTCTCCAACTTGTCGTTTGCGCTACTGCCGCTTGCTGTGCTGGTGCGAAATTAGGCGTTTGACAGATGATATCTCGGTCCACCAATGAGTCTGTAGACAGCGAGAATAGCGTATGTATATGCACCTCTCTTGGAGAAACTACTTCTCGGGGCAATAACTGAGGTTTGTTGGGGTCTTTGCCCTCTGGTTGTTCGCCCGATCTCTCACGCCAACCGTGACCCCAACCCGTCTACCTTTCTGCGCCACTCCTGTCAATGGTGACCCGCTACACTGTACCCTGCCCCGGAAATACAGCAATCGCAGCCGTCGTTTATCCGACCACCGTCCATATCCCCCCACCCACTACCGAAAAAAAATCCTGTTGCAGATGTCCAAGGTAGCTTCTGCCCTGCTCTCCGGCAAGTACTCGACGCCTGCTCAAGGTGATGATTCCCACACTTGGTGTTTTTTTTTCAGGCCTGAGGTGCTATTGCCGTCAAGGTTGAGTAGTAGCCCTCCGTAATTGTCCTGGGAGAGACCTGGTTATGTTTGTTTGCAAGGTGTTATGCTGAAGGTGACCTCATCGCATCGTTTGAGGTATGTGCTCTCGGCCCCGCTTTTTGCCGACATAAACGCACAGGTGTTTACGGTATTTAGAGGGCGTTAAGATGAGGTGTAGGACGCACAAAAATACTTGCTTGTAAACGTTACCTGGCAAAAAGATACGGAGAAATCACGTTTGGTAAACGTGCTTCCGCCACCAGCCTCCGTGATTTTGGCAAGGCTCTCAAGACTCGAGGCCATTGACGCGATGGACAGCAACGGCCCTTCTTTCATGATTGCGGTCCCTGCTGGTTTTATCTCTTGCCCTTCCTTTCCCGCGGGAAAAAAAAACGTGTTGAAGAACGCACATCTCCCCATCCATTCCTTTGACCTCCGAACGTCCTACGTGTATCCTCAGCCGGCGACGCCGAGAAGGCACCTGCGGGTGACGGTAAGGGCGAAGAAGGAGGGGAAGAGTTGGTGGTGGTTGCGCCGAGAATGTTCAAGTACCTGGTGGGGCAGGGGCACGCCGAGTTCTCCTCCGGCAGGCAGCAAGACGCCGCGGAGTACATGCAGCACCTGCTTGAGGTATGTGGTGCAGCAGTGGGGGGTCCCCGAATATGGTGGTACGCGGGGCAGGTGATAGTGACCGCCTTTAAATGGGGCAGCCGCCTTTTTCGATGTGTAGAACAAATTTGTTGATTGTTCCGTCTGTGCCAGACAAATTTCACCCACCGTGTGTAGGGGGGGGCGCCCTTCTCTCAAACCGCCTTATTCGCGGACCCCCACTACTGTATGCGGTTAGAGCTCGCCAACGCGGGGCCACGCGGACTAGAATTCCTTTGCAAGGCTTTGTACCTTGTGCTTTCTTTGCAAGGCTTCGTGCCCTGTGTTTTCAGGCGGATAAGGGATAAGAATTCCTTTGCAAGGCTCTGTACCTATTTAGTGTGTTTTCCGCCC